TAGTGAACAGGAAATAGCCAAACACCACCACACTGATCCAGTAACTAGAGTTAATACCATTGTCAAAGGTAGACTTGATGTATACTATGTCATTGGACTACACACAGTAATTCAAGTTCACATTAAAAAAGCCCCAGTATAATCATTTATAACATTCTAAAGTACAAGAATAAATTTACCACATTATATTTTTGTGGAATGGGTTTCAAAAATAAAGCTTGCATAAAAAAAACACTTCCAAAAATATATATTAAACATTTAAATAGTTAAAACAAGACATATGTTTTAGTAAAAGGGTTCACATTTTAAAACTGCATTGCGAGCAAACTAAAAAGAAGCATTTGCCCATTTCTGTTACATCAAAGTTGCTTGGAATTTCACTCATTTGTATATTGTCAAATGAATTACATTGCAAACTTGTCAGCAAGACAACATTAACTTATCTCAGGACATTACTTTGAAGCATGGGAACTAAATTATTGGGCAAAGAATGACAACTTTAAAAAGTGTTCCACGTGATAACAGAAGGTACAAAAGTGACAGAAGAGCTGAGGCACCTTGATCTGAGGCAACGTCAGGCTGGTTTGCAATGTTTTCCTTCTGTTATTTTTAAATGCGAGAACAGGAGACATTCCTTTACCCAGAGGGTTGAAGGAGTGTGGAACAATATTCTTACCCATGTGGTTGAAGCAGGTACTTTGGCCTCATTTAAGGAATGGCTGGATGAGATCCTTGGATCAATAAACTACCAACTACCAAACGGGCAAGATGGCCTCCTCCTGTTTGGAACCTTTCCTATGTTCTTATGTCTTAAGGTTTAAACATTGATCAGAATAGAATGCACTGCTTCAGCTAAGCTGTTTTAAAAACATATTTTGGGGGTTAGAAAAGCTCAATTTGTCTGGACTCTGAAAGGCTAAACTAGCAGGCTGTAGCTATTTGACCAGGGCTTTGGTACAGAGCAAGAAAAAAAAAGAAATTTGATTCCTTTGCAAAACAAGGGCAAGGAAAAACATTTCACCTTATCAATGGGTCAACCTTAGTTTTGCTGATCCTGGAATCTGTCCGGGTGCTTAGGTGAGAAATCTTGGAATCATTTGTGGGCAACCGAGCTGCTCAGATCGTAACCAGTATTGGTTTGGTTAATTTGCACTAGTTCCCAGTCGATCTCAAATAAGATTCCATTTAGAGTTGGTCACTTTCAGGAGCTTGAACAGTTTGGCATTGACTACACCAGGGACACAACTCCCTATAACATGTTATTAAGACGTCAATATAAGGCTCCAGACATCAGGAGATTGTGCTTCCTGTTCTGTTCCTAGACTGCAAAATGGTCCCCCAAACCAATAATAGAACTTTCAAGGCAGCGAGCCTTAAAACTCATTTTTATTACTCTTGCTTTTAATTCTATTTTCTGTTTTAATTTGGGCATACTGTACCTTGTTTTATTTGATTTATTGAAAAACATCTTGAGGTGATGTACCATAAATAATGCAATACAAAATTCAAAGTTATTACTCCATGATTCAAAATTCCATTCCTATTCACAGGCAGTAAGGTAGCTAAGGACATATTAAATAGTTTCTTAAAGTGTTCAGGTTTATTGTACATACTGCATGTTCCTTATTTTTGTAGCAAATAAGTACTATTCCGTTTTACCTTAACATTGCCACTTGCCAGTAAATTAAACAGCACAGCAATGCAAATAAAGTACTGCATGGATGTTCAATTCAGAACATATACAGTAACAGTGCCCCCTTATGGTAATTTTATTGCTTCATGTTATTCCTGATGTTATGTAATTTGTTACCATAAATAGCAGTATTTGTGGACAGATGCATATTTCATATTGAAGAAAATCTAAACAAGGCTACATACAAATCTGAATTTTATAACAATTCCAAAAACTATGTGCGCAAAGACAGCACATGAAAAAGACACCACTATTTTTGACATCTGGAAGAGAGCAAAACAAACCAATACATTTATTAAATGCCTAGTCAGTTTAATTTTTAACTTGTGACAATTTCACTTGTGACATTTGAGAATAACACTGGAATAAAAAAATAATCAGGGTTCCAGCAACTTGGTGGTTTGCCTTCTAATAGTGAATGCAGATTAAATTGCGCACTCGCAAAGTATTTAAAAAGGCACGTCTTTGTGGCCACCTAGCTCTGTAGAGCCATCTAGTGGTAGACAGTAGGTTACTGCACCCTTTTCATATGGCCACCAGCAAGGATGGTTATGTACTGTATCTGTCTAAGACAAACAGGAAAATTGCGGTTCCAGACGTTGCTGGGTAGTATAATGTCATTATAAATACTAGGTGATGAACTTGAGAAACTTACCATTTTGTTTTAAAAATAATGAACTTAACCTAGATGAATCAAGGGTATCAGACCCCAAATAGGACAAAGTTACAAAAAACACAAAGGGCAAAGTGTTGGGAATACAAACCTAAAAACATCCACGGACAGAATATTTGGCCCTTAAGCTACATGCAGTGATAAAGTAAAAAAACGAATCCGTGTATCAAGGACTGTCAGACATCTTACTAAGAAGCTTCTCTTCAGATAATGACAGAGAACTGTTGATTACATTTGTAGCGTTCTGCATCATGGTGGCTACAGACAAAAGTTTGATACGTGCAAACTCCATGTCCCAAATGAAAAGGGGTCTTGCAGTCAGAAAACAATAGGAGCTTGTTATAATATATATTTATATAAGAACTAAGTGCTTTAAAAAGCAAAACTGCAAAAAAGTTGGATTGACACATCAATACAAAAAATCAGATTGTAAGATGTGTGGTGGGTATATTCATTGATGAACCATTAACGTTTCACAGGCACTTTGGAAAACACTGTGGATGTTTGCATTGCATTGCGATGTTTGTGTTTCATAAGTCAAGAAATTCTCCACATTTCTAAAATAAAAGTTCCAGTCCATCAGCAGGCTTGTTGATTAAGTATTCAGTCAAGTCAAGGGATGATAGTAAATGCACAAACCTCCCAACTAGCAGTTCCAAAATATACATCTAGCTTATACAAACGTTAAAAGTAGCACTAGTAAACATCACTCTCTACTTTTCATTTTTTTTTCTGAGACACTTTCTTCTTTAATATTTTTTTCTAATGTTGTAACATGAAAAGCTTCCACTGCAACACGCCTCTGTTGGACCTTATTTTTTACCACTTGAAGCTCATTACACTCCTTTACTTACCTGAATCATTTTTAATCGTGCTACAAAATACTTTTTCTCTGTGCAGTTTTTGGAATGGATTTATCAGACCATTTGGGATACTATTTTCTAACATGTGCTGACTAAGCAAATTAACTTTAAACTCTTTCTATCCATTTTCTACTTGTCCTTCCTAACACATTCTACTGCCATTGAGATCAGTTCTATTCTTTTGTAGTCTGCTTTCCTGAAACTAAACCTTTGTTGTGGGCTCCACCTATAATGTTTCAAAAACAACTTCAAAGCATACCCTGTTATGATCCCAGTTTCCTAATGGGTCCCTCATCTCCACTTTTCTTACCCTGTCTTTGTTTGAAAACACTACATCAATCCCAGCATTAACTCTGGTAGATGTCCAGACAAACTGAGTAAGGAGCAATCGTTAGTGATGACTACTCTGAGATTTGCAGTTGCTGACAACCCTGAAAGCTTTTTTTAATGTTTTCGTTTTGTAAGTGGATTCCGAGATCCTTGATTCCTCATCTAGGTTATATTTGTCGTTTCTTAAACAAGTGGAAACATGAAAGAAATCCTTGTTTAATTGAAAGCATGCACCTTCGTTACTCACATAAGCGACAAGTTCTTGTCACCAAGTAACATGCAGAAATCGAACAATGAAACGACAGGCATTAACTACATGTTTGCATTAAAGGGATGCTATTTAATTAAAATGGACAGCATAGCTGTTAGGTACTTTAACAAGTCTCAGGTTTGAACATACAGTTATTATTACTGTACGTTTCTTACCGATTCAACTGCAACTTCAAACACCAGGTGTTTCACTGTGTTGAGCTGGGTGGAAACACTACATAGAATTCTGGCAGGAATAGTGGTGACTCTGACAATTAGGGGAGCATGCTTCCATGAATGTATGACCTGCCAGTTCCTCCATCTCATGGTGTTCTCTCTGTTCCTCTGTTCCTGACCCTGTAACTTCATTTTTTCAATGAGGAACTGGATTTTGTGGCAGTTTTCAAAGATGTAGTCTGGTTGATTTTACAAGCTGCAAACCAAAGGCTTATAGACATTTTTTAAGCAGGATTAATAGGAAATTGTATAAATCCCACTTTGTATGCTTTCCTAATTTCTATATGTTTTCCTAATTTATACATGTTCCTTATTTTTCCATAGCTGCTTAAATGCAATTAGCCTCTCTGCCTGCAACTGATACTTAATAAAGTCGATCTGTGACACACTGGCAAGCAAACTGCTTGTTCCCTTCTGCTGTATTGTATCTAGAAAAGTAATCAACATATTTCCACCCCGGACCAGTCGTTTTATGACTCAGTACTTAGAAGATGTATCTGTAAATGTCAATTTCATGTTATACTGCATATTGTACCTATAGATTCATAAGAATTATGTAAACATCAAGGTGTAGAAGAATGATTTATTAGTAAACTGTAATGTAACAAAATATATTTTACATCTTCTTAGGTAATTTAATCCACTCAATTAAATCAGAAATTGAATTGCACTCTATTGTAATTGCAATGTAGGATGAATTTATGGGGGGGGGACGGGGACAAATACACTTTTCACTCCCAATTCTGCTCCATGTTCATTATTAAAATGTTACAGGATGAGGCAGGCTACTGAAATGTACTGTGTCAGTAATCATTCTAAATATTCTGTGAGTCCACTATATTTCAGCACATAACCACCTATTCGAATACAGAGCTTAATTTCCTGTAATATACTGTAACACAAAAGCAAATAAAGCACTTACTGTAACTTTTTGAAGACACCCACTCATTGGAGATCTAAGTAATGTATCATTTTATTGAATATTCCACGTGGCTGGATGTACAAAATATATGGCTAAACTGTGTGGCGATTACAAAAAAAAAAGAATATCACATTCGTGAGTTTTACAAGAACACATTTTTTGAAAAATGCTAGGACCTGTTGGCTAAAAAAAGTACATAAAAGCCAATACCACTGAATAACAAACCCCATCTGAACAGAAGAGAGGAAGCATTTAAATTACATCAAATTGAAATAAAAATCGGAGAATCTCGAGTATGTCGGAGAAAAAGGCTTTTAAATTACACATCTGTACAGGGTTTAAAACGATAAAAGACGCAGTACCAGAACAAAACTTGCCTTGGTATATGTGTTTGATGTTGAAGCTTTTCAGCCACTTCATTGTGTAGGAAGGCAGTCACATTTCCAAATGATAGCAAAGAAAGCTATTCCTCCTCCCAGTTTTCTCTTTTACTTTAAAAGTCATGAACAGCAATTTCAGGTTGAAATGCCGAAATTCCAGTCTCTCGTAAAGACCAGGGTTTCTTCTCAACTGCTTCCTTTTTAAACTGAATTCCAGGGGGAAAAAACGTGGCCTTAAAAAGTTAAATCATTCATAGTTCAGAAAGGCATTAACATCTAAATACAATCTTAAAATCTTCTTATTTTCCAGGATTCCAATCTTTTTGCCCATTTTGAGGCTGAAGAATTGAATATATCCTTTAAAGAAGTATAAATGTGTGTATAAAACATAAGATCACTTTTTTCTCATCTGAACATCAGTTCATGTCCACAGTGAATAAATCCTTACCTTGTTGTATGCAAAAACAGCAAAAAACAAAAACCTCAAAAATGCAACTCTACAAATCCGCTATAGACAAATTTTGCATTATGTTGCACAGCAACAGTAAGAAAAAAAATTCTTCTGAATGACTCTGCAACACTTCCACAAAAAAAAAAAAATATTGTACACCCTTTGCGCCTGCACACATTTCCTCTGGGTGAACACGTGATTCTTCATTGCTGTTCCAGAGTCACCTGTGCTCAGGATCCATGTAAGAGTCACCACAATCCACAATCTGAATCTCAGTAATGACTGATTTGAAACACTGCTGGAGTATAAATGCAGATCACTATAAATAACAATTCAGTTTGAGTTAACAATGAATGCAGATCATTCCCTTCACTTAAGTTTTTTTTTTCTTTTTGTAGGTTTTGCTTTTGTTACCACAAAATGTCACAGTTCTTGTTTTGGTCTCCGCTACTACATTACTCTCTATGCTTCAGACTGCATCTCGGGGTCCTCTGTATGTAGGGTGTCATTGTCGCCGAGCAGCTCTGTTTCGGGGACAGACACATCCTCGTTGTGCAGAGCAGTCTGGGAAGATCCATCTGCAACATCTTCCTCAACGGCCTTTCCATCCTCCGTGAGCAAAGCCGCTCGCTCAGTCATTGAAGCGTTTGACGGGGCCGTCGTGACGTAGCCAGTGCTTGTGGAACCACTTCCGCTATGATGTGATCCAGCTTTGGGCACCATTTGTGGATGCATCTGCTGTGGAGGCATCTGCATAGGGATCTGCATAGGGTAGAAGTTTTGTAAATAGGCTCCATAGGCTGGCATGGGCTGATAGCCGTTGACGGGAATATACAGCTGAGGAGGGACCATGGGACGGATCTGACCCTTCATGGGAATGAACTGGGGCTGAGGGAAAGGCTGGGTTTTTTGTTTGGGGCCAACATACCGCGCCGTGCTGACATTACTGACGGGGCTGGTGCTGAGAGAGCTGGTTTGGGTTGTATTGCTGGCCCCCGAGGTTTGAGCCGAGCTGTTGTAGTTGGACAGGCTCTCCCACGTCCGTAGTCTGGTGTGGATGTCTTTGAACCTGGGTCTTCTGACAGGGAATTCATTCCAGCACTCCAGCATGAGGGTGTAGATCCAAGCTGGGCAATCATCAGGGCAGGGCAGGACCTGTCGGTTCCTCACCATCTCAATGACATCTTGGTTGGAATAGCCGCAATATGGCTGCAGGCCATAGCTGAAGATTTCCCACAAGACCACACCATAGGACCAAATGTCTGAATCCACTGAAAATTTGCCATACATGATAGCCTCTGGAGACATCCAACGGATAGGAAAAGGATTTCCTCCCATCAGCTTGTAGTAATCAGCCGAGTAGACTTCACGGAAAAGGCCCAGGTCTAAGATCTTCACGTTGAGTTTATCGCACACTAAAATGTTTCGGGTGGCCAGGTCTTTGTGCACCACATGATGGCTGGAAAGGTACTCCATCCCAGCGGCTATCTGCGTCACGATGTGGAGGAAGTCAGCTTGTTCCAAGGTGGATTTCACCGTCTTGTCATCATCAGTGCTTCCCACGTCTGAATGGGGGGACCTCATGACCAGGAACTCGTGGAGGTCCCCATGTCCAGAGTAGCTAAAGATCATGCTCATGGGCTGCTCCTTAGTGACCACACCCAGCAGACAGATGATGTTGGGATGCTGCAGCCGGGACCTCATCAGAGCTTCATGCTTAAACTCCTCCCTCAGGGTCAATTCAGCTTTATCCTTTACCGTCTTGATGGCAACTACTTGGGTCTGTTCCCCAGGTGCTGTGCCATAAAGATGTCCCTTGTACACTTTCCCAAATCGGTCTTCACCGAGCTCCTCCATGAAGCGCACAGCAGACAGGTTGATCTCCCGGAGTTTTCCCTACGTAACACAAAATGATATTTTGCTTATTAGCACTGATTTAAAATAACTAGGACCTATAAAATATATTTACAGTATATAAAGGATATATCATTTAAATTTAGGTAAAATCCTCACAACATTTACATGGGTCATGTTTGGAGTAATACATGCAAAATCAAGACATATTTACAGATCCAATTGCTTATTTCTTTGAAGTGCCTTAGTACTGTTGCTACATGCTTTGATTGTCCAGAATATGTTCTGCACAATTAAGTCCAGCACAAAATGTGAACTACCTTAAGTAGTTTGAAAGAGACAACACCATCTGGCAAGCATGTATATTTAGATTCAGGTAATGTGGATTAACGTTTGTATACCTCTTCCTCAATGCAACGTATCATCATAGTCATAATCACGATGACTGTAACAACTGACAATGAATGATTATGTATATACACCTCCAGAAAAGTAAATCAAAATAACTTTGAGACAGGAACAGTTGCACAATGGTTAGTATTGCTGCCTTGCAGCACTAGGGCCTTTGGTTTAATTCCTGGGGTGCTATCTGTGTAGAGTTTGTTTGCTCTCTGTGTTCACGTGGCTTTCCTCTGGGATTCAGGTTTCCTCCTACAGTCCAAAGATACACTGCTAGGTTAACAGGCTTCTGGGAAAATTGGCCGCGGTATGAGTGTGTCTGTGTGAGCCCTGCAGTAGACAGTCCTGTTTCCAGTAGCTCTGCTACTGGATAAAGTGGTCAGAAAATGGGTAGATGGATGAATGAGCTCTACTGTGATTTTTATTTCTGTTATTTCCTTACATTAAAAACTTACTACATTGGTATCAAACAATACGTATACATGAAGCTCCACAGCATGTTTAATTCAATAGTAATAAGTGCATCATTTTATGCAGCAATTTAAAATGGGTGCAGTATACTCATATTTAAAGCTCAACTTTGTGTTACCTGGTGCTTGTGCTGGTTAATGAGGGGCAGCTCCATGTCCTGGCTGGGTGATGCCATTAACTGCCTGCGAGGAGGAGTGTCAGAGGAGGCCTTCTGTTTGTTCCGGCACATGCAGATGAGGAAGAACAGGCAGGCGATGACAAAGGGGATCGCTATGCTGGGAATCAAAATGTAGAGGATCTCCATTTTATGGTTTTCTCGAGGTTCTGCAAACCAAAGGGAAACAGCATTAATTAATTTAATGCCATGAAATTTAACTGGAGTGCATCCGCAATCGACTTTAGAATTAGTGGGTCACTAAGTAAATGTTATGTGCTTGTGCGCTATTCTCCAGAAACCCCAGTGGATGCTTTCCGGTAAACCACATTCAGATTCTGTGCCAGGAATGGAAAGGTTTTTTTTTTTGCATCTCATCCATATAACATTTCAGCATATTGGTCTCTTTTATTTGGGAAAGAAAGAAACTATGAAGTCTACATGTATTCCAGAATAATCATTTTTTTGTTTTCAAGACATGGAGCACTGGAACACAATGTAATGTAATGTAATGTAATAATTCAAAAACACTGTTAAATGAAGCCTCATCATAATGTAATACAAGAAATGCTTAACTAATTCTTCCCTAGGAGGCTTTACATGGCTTGGCACATCAGTATGTCTGACTTACTATCATCCTACTCCCCATCTTGCAGCTTTTGTTCGTCTAATTGTGGTCCCCTGTTTGTCTCCCAGGCCCCTCTACCCTCTCTGGGTGACAAGGCCTTCTCCTGCTATGCCCCAAAGCTCCAGAATTCTATCCCTATGGGTATCAGAGAGTCACCTTCCCTGGGCACTTTCACATCAGGACTCAAAACCTTCTTCTTTACACTGGCTTTTATTTAACTGGTCCTGTGTCTGCTGCATTGCTTTCCAAACCCTAATTGTAATTGGGTAATCCTGATGTCTCCTTTCATTGTGTACTTTTTTTTTAACTGTCAAGCACTTTTTAAGGTGTTATATAAAATAGTTTATTATTAAGAAGTACCAAAACATCTATGCTAGACACGTTGCAAAACAACAACATTTCCAACCAAGCATTGTCGTTCTCCCATATTTTGTTTTGTCCACTTACTGCAGGCAGGAATGTCACACAGATCCACGCGCACATTCTCGTCCAGTGTAAAGCACCAGGGAGCTTCCATCTGGCCGGCTGGGTTCCGGCAGTAGTTGTGTCCTCCTCCCAGCTCCGGGAACTCCACACCCGTCAGGTGGTGGCTGTGAGGGAACTGGGCGTTCCAGCGCTGGCACTTGTACCCTGACTTGGTCACACTCGCCGTGCCCCTGTAATCTGCTCCGCTGCCGTTGTAACACTTGTGATCTGGAGGAGGATCTTTCACAAGGATTAAAAATTAAGAGAGGAAAAAGAAATGCGTAAAACCAAATAAAAAAAAAATACACCAACAGGCTGCCACAAAACTCATCTTGGGACGACTGGATAAATGCGATTCTAGGAAAATTGAAAGACAAAGAGGAGGAAAACTCTTAGATGTACAGTATGTTAGCTTCCCCGATTGATAACATGCTTGTTTTCAGTGAATGAAATAAAAAATACATTTGTGCTCTCACCCTTAATCCACCAGTTCTTAGTACTGTAATATAACTCAAGTCACAAGGCTACTGGGGACTTCAACTCTTCCAAGGACTTTGATTAGGAGGAAAAACTACTGAGCTGGGGGTCATGGACCTTTTCTGTGGCTGCAGTGAATTGGCCACGTCTGGAAAGCATTTTTGCAAAGCCTTTGAGAAAGCAGTATCACATTTCCCATTCTGCAGTGGTAATCCTACTTAAGCCCGCAATCACGCCAAATTCCTTAGACTGTTATTTATAAAGGAAAGCAGAATATCTCTGGTGCTAATCTATTTTTCTTACCAGATTTTCTTCCTGAAATAAACAAATTACGGCCCTTTGCGGATTGTGGCTGCGGGAACCTTCCCCCGCAACAATTCTGCTGCGGCCCACATCCTTGTAAACTTCTTTGGTGTATGACAAAATGACAGGGGGGCACGAACTTCTCGCAGCAGAGTAAATTAAAAAAGGTATGTTGGTGCCACCTCTAGGGGGCCCTGTGGAGTACTGCAGGAGGCCGTCTCAGACCTCTCTTCGACTTCGCAAGGACCGTCAGCAGAGGTGGCAGATCTCCAGATGACCCAGTCAGAGACACGGCCGCAGTGAGCCCCTCTGGCCTCCGAGCTCTGTGGCACTTACATGTTTTCAGCTTGTCCACCGGGACGCCGATCCGCATGCAGCTGGCGGCCTCGGGGGAGTCTGGCAGGGGCAGCGCCTCGCAGCTGGGCAGCTCCAGCTGCATGAGAATGGCCCGGTTGGAGCGGGCGATCATGTACTCAGTGCGGCACAGGTCGTTCTCCAGCACCTCGCACTCGTCGCGGCACAGCTCCCGCTGCCGGGGGTTACGGGAGCCCTCATCACACAGCGGGAAGACGTAGTGGCAGAAGGAGGGGATGGCAAACTGGGAGCACTGGTCTGACAGGTGAGTGGAAGTTCCTATCATGGTGAAAGCAGCTGTGCCACAATAGAAGGAGAAAGAGAAAACTAATGTTTTAAAAGCTAAAAAAACATTAGTTTTTTTTATTTGGAGGGGGTGGGAAGATACAAATTTACAGTTCTGCATTAAGCCTTTCAAACTTGAAATGAGTAGGAATTTAACTACTGTTTTGTTTGCAATTTCAGCATCGAAGATTTATAATAATGTATATAATGTTTCTTTATTAGCCCTATACAATTTCTTGCAGTAGGAATTCGTCTTTTCACATACCCCAGCTTTTCTCCATGGAGACACAGACGGGGAGAGAGAAACTTGGGGTCATAGCGCAGGGTCTGCCATTGTACGGCGCCCCTGGAGCAGTTGGGGTTAAGGGCCTTGCTCAGGGGCCCAACGGAGTAGGATTCCTCTGCCGGCTGTGGGATTTGAACCAGCAACCTTCCAGCCACAGGCGCAGATCCTAAACCACAGAGCCACCCCTCCGCCCGATTTCTTTCCATGTGAACACTGTTTCACATCAGTAAAGGAATATTAGGTAGTGCAAAGATTCTTTACTTATCACATCCTGTTTTTAAACACCAAATTTGTGATGGGCCAAAACACGAACTGTTGATATTGAGTAATCTGTGACTATTTGTTTTTAATTATAGATACAAAAATAATTAGTTAAAATTGATTTAAGAACCCAGATAATGATGCATCATCATAGTGTGAAGTACAACTCTGGAGAAGTTCTAATACCCAAACCATAATGCAGTTACAGACAACATCTAACAATGTTGTTAAACAACAGCAATAATACTCCAAGCTACTTTGAAAGGGGTCCTGGTCTTTTCAAGTTCAAGAGAAAGTCCTACAACCCAGAGGATTTGTGTCAGATTGTATGTTGCATTGAGAACTGATATTCTGCTGCGTCTGCATTTTAATAGTTCCCATCTTTTTCACAAGGGGTCTCTCTTTGCCATCTAACGTAAAATAGTGTATTTCTGAACTTAAACTTGAAATGCAGTATTTTAATAGCTTGATATCAGTTTAAACTTGGAGATAGTTTCCACAGCAATATCTGTACTCTCACAGAAAGGTTTGACTTCTGATAGCCCAGAAATCTGGTACAGCTAGTGAAGTAGGAAATATTAACAGCTTTGCATAATGCAGTTATTTCTCTGTATTGAACATATATTAAAATGTTCATTTATTACATATTATTCAACAAAATTGAATCTGTGAACTATAATGCAAGTGTTTATAGTTTATCCAAACATATTTAATAATAAGTGTTTTATTAAGACAAATATTAACCTATTCTCATCTATCCAAATAGTAATGAAAATAGAAAAAGTATTTTTTATGGGTTTCTGAATGGCTTAATAAGCACTCAGCTGAAATACTGATATTGGCCCTTCAAGAACACATTTAATTGAAGGAACGCTTAGTATGGAATATACTGCATTGCTCTGACTGCTACATATGTGTTTGGAAAGTGTACACAGTCCTCAAACCCTATGTTGACACAAAGCTGATGACAGTAAAACAAAGATGATTAACAACCAACAATTCAATTTTTTAAATTCTCATAGGGTGCTACTGTTCGTTGGTATTGTATTGCAAAATTTGGGAAATGTTTTGAGAGAGAATTTAAAAATGCATGTATTTTGTGAAGGTAGTGTGACAAACAACATGCTTTCCCTTAACATTACTTTGAGCTGTTAAGTTGTTAAATGTTCATGTCAGGAAAAAGCAATCTGTCAACTTACAGCTAGGCCATAGAAACTAAACGATTTCAACTAATACATATTTCAAAATGCCAATTAAAAGTTTACCCTGCAAAATTTAAAGATTCTTATGTTCTTGCTATGTTTCAATAATCTTTAAAAAACATTTACAGTAAGTTGGAAACTGGTAACTTAATATCACAAGGGAAAAAAAGAGAGATAACAATTCTAACAGGAAACACCAGATCTAGCAGCTTCATATATATTATACATAACATTTTGCAACCAATAAAAACAGATCTAGGTTTTAATTTAGCAACTGTGCTTAAAGAGAGATCAAATTAATACTGAATTGTTGATTCTTAAATCAATTACATTTCAATGTATGTTGGGCAAATATTTACTTTTTTAAAATGGTATTTGATCGGTACCTGGAATATATTAAACTTAAACCAGTAGTTGCTTTCATGGACTTTAACATAAGAGAAAGATGTATTTGTATCTGGAAAATGTCCAAAATAATCTAAAAGTATTTAAAGTTGGATTACTTGCTCTGTCCAATAAGAACAAATTACCCAAATTTGTAAATAAAAAAACCCAGAAACACTTTCCAACATTTTGAGTACTCAGCACATTTTAAGATATGATGATACGATGAAACACTAGTTTTAGGGGGAACAAAATTCTATATTCCCTTCGAGACAAAATAATTAGCTGTGGCTGCACCCCAAATTACATACAAAGTGCGGTTTGGTAACGAGTCATAGTAATTTTACCCTAAAACCTGGCTGAAGTTACTACTGTGTACCCAGATAATAAGACATACAGAGATTTACCAAGTATGTAAAGAATTTAAATGCAAACAAACATTGTGTCTAATTGAATTAAAAACCTTTTTTTAAACTGGGTAAAAGACAACTTCATATACAAAAAGGACTGTGATTAAGCACTCTCCTGGAAGCCTGGAACAGTACAACAAATACCATCTACGTGCATTTGAGAGTAGGAACAAATGGTTATTGTTCTGCTAGAGGCATGCCATTCCTACCAGTTATTCGGTTTTCACTTTCCCCTTGCATCTGGAGCGACTCCACGTAAATGCTTCTGTTTCCAATGAATCGCGCACATGCGATTCCTCGGTATGGCTGACAGAATCCTTTTTCATGAAACTTGTCCCTTTGAAAACACAAATGGATTCCATAAGTATAACAGCAAATGTCAGGTCCCCAAAGGAAACAGCTCTCATCTGCGTCCTTGAACTCCACTTCAAACCCTTCTCAGCAAGCAGCATTCATGTCTTTTTATCCCTGCCTTTACCTCACGGAGGAAAATCTCTAGAGACCAACAGGTAACAATATTATTCACCCCTTACAGTATATGGTTCCAGACACTCCTATCTGAAACTTAAAAAAAGATCTAAAAGCAGCCTCCCCACACACACCAATAACGGAATGAATTTCTTTTTCATTATTTTCTTATGCGTTTGAGTCCACAATAGAGACATTTTTATTCCCGTATTATTGTTTTATCCAGATGTAGTATGAACTACAGTGTTTGTTCAAACAGCAATTACTTACATCTATTTCTGGCATGATGTTCAACTGACATTTTAGAGTAACCCCCACAAAGTTCCAGAAGTTAAAATGTCCACTGGGAGGAAGCCTGAGGCCAGAGACTTTAAAGATCCTCTGATAAAAAAAACACTTGCTTCAGAAGTCATGTAGCTTGGTATAGAAATGTTCTGTAAATTTCAATTATATTAGGCTTTTCTGATATTGATGGTTTTTGCAAAATTAAAACTTTCACAGCTTGGACCATTTTAATTAATAAGGCATGACATGAACATGTCCTGTCTTCATTCGATGTGTTAGGCCCGTTTTCTCCAATACAAACAAGCTGTGCTAATACTGCTGGACTATGGCATACAGCTGACCAATTTATCAACTGGCAGTGGTTTAAAACTTTCAGTTCCACAACTGCTGCCATACTGGTTTCTGTGTTGTATTTTAATTTTAAATTCTGCAGATTGTTTTTGTAACTGAACCTCCTTTTGAAAACTTCCCAATCAAGCTGACATTAGGTTTGCATTTTAATTAGCCCTCTTGCCAAGGATGTACTAATCTCAGTTCCTCATTAAATAAGATCCATATGTACCACAGACCCTAACATACTAGCACAAGAATTAATCAAAGTCAGTCAGGGGGTATTGAGCAGAACTGTTCCCCAATACAATACTTTTTATGAAGAAATGTCACTTAAATAATTAAAAAAACTAAAATGTAAACATAAACATAAGCACCATTGCAATATTAAACATGCAAAAACACAATTTACTAATAGGATTATCACAAAACATTCCAGTTGTGGCGGTGAATTGTGTGGAGTAACAGGTACAATCTCTACACAGCCTCTCAGAATGTTAGCCTGTCTCTAAACTGTGAGTGTACACATGGTAATATTTACATAAAACATCTCACAGATAAACCAAACAGCTGAAATCAGTAATACACCTAACAGAGCAGTACAATAGCGCAGGGGCGCAGAGGTTAGCAGTACTGGCTTACAGAGCTGGGGTTGTGGGTTCAATTCCTGAGGTGCTATATGGGTGGAGTTTGTAGGTTCTCTCTGTGCTTGTGTGGGTTTCCTCCCACTGTGCAAAAACATACTGGTAGGTTAATTAGCTTCTGGGAAAACTGGCTCTGGTGTGAGTGTGTGTGGTGTGTCAGTGTGTGCTCTGCAATGGACTGGCGTCCCACCCAGGGTGTATCCTGCCTTATGACCATTGCTTTTTGGGGTAGACTCTGGCTCTCCTGTGACACTTTAAGGGTAAAGAGATTAAAAAAGGATGGAGGGATACAAATGACATACACAAGCTATCCATGTTAGAAAATATGCTTTCAGGTGAATTAATTTCCACTTACATTCAAGTCACTCTTTGCCATGCCCATGCATAAGTAACTATAAGCAAGGAAACAAGCTAAATGCCCCTTTTTTCCCAAAACTAAATGCCCTATGCATTTACAGGCTAAATGCCCCAAGTTTTTCCAAACCTCAGGTTAACTCACAGATTGTTAAAACTGATTTTATTAAGTGTTAATTTTCGCAATTACTTCATAGACTAATTTTTGTAAGGCATAGGCCCAGGCCTTATCAAAACCTCAAAATTACAAAATAACAATCCTTGTTCTTGAAGGCAGCTTTTGTGTGCTAGGATCTTCTTTATGTAGTCAGCGTGCCATCAAGTACTGAATTTCAATTCAGGCGTCAGGCGTGACCAAGTTTTGACTGAATGCTAAACTTGTTGTGGGACCTTATCTTAGTAAAAACTAAGAGTAAGCCTATTTTCCAAAGAGAGACTGAGAAAGGTAATTAAAATCATAGCCACCATCGACCTAAATACTATTCAAGTAACTACTTTATTAAATTTAACAAATACCACATCGTCACATGAAGTATAAAATCCTCTCTGTAGCTCAAAATAAAATATTCAGGTTTTTGTTCTTCATCTTGTTCATGGATTTTTTGGAAATGTACGATCATATGCTTTTTTCCAAAAACTATAGGATCTGCATAAGCAATAGACATGTTATTATTATTACAGTGGTTGGGACTGAGGGATTTCGGATATAGTGTTGGTTAATCCCTGACTGCCAATGTGCAGACCTTGGAATGACATGGCTCCAACATATGGGATTGATCTCCATTTTTTTCTTTCCTCAAATCCAACATGACAATGAGGCAAGAATATTATTTGCTGACAAGTAGTTTACATTTCTTAGGGAGACCCTTCAAAATTGAAAACTGAAGCAATGTTCAGAGAAATATAGTCTAACAAACATATGGTTGGAAAGTTTCATCTTTCTTTTAAAGAATTACAGTATTACATACAGTATTTACCTTATGCCAGCGGTGTTTAACTCTGGTCCTTGAGGACAACTGTTCAACAGGTTTTAGAGAGGTAACTCTCTAACTCTCAAGCCTCTTAAGAACAAGGAAAGACTAATAAGCCCAAATAAGCAAAGAATGTACTCAATTAAGTGGATAAAAAACGAGGGAATGTTTCGGCCCTCCAGAACTGCATTACGCTTTGAAAAATTAACTAAAAAAAAGTTTATTACTTAAAGAAGCAGATCAATTTGAAGTTCTTACTTAACAAAGAGGCACATCTTTTTGTGTCTATCTCCAAAGCTAGACCTTTTTTTGTATTCAATAATGCTCAAACTTCAGACCTACTGTATCTCATTTGAGAATATTCAAATTTAACAAGCCTTAACCCTGAATTTAAAGACTGGATCTTTATGAAGGAGCTGTATACTAGCACTAAGAAAAGGACTGATCACATTGTTCATATAATTTTAATTCTCTCTAGAAACCCTGTAAATGTGAGAATGAAAAAAAAATGTGAGTAAAACTGCTGTTAGATCTATTTTAATCCACTGATAGACCTGTGTGAGTAATGTCAAATTACCCATGAGAAATGTCTTACTCCAGCAAAGATAATATAAATTCCACACAGGGTATCTGAAAATAAAGACTGTCACTTTAAATGCACTTGGCAATTTCACCTCCTACTGATAAGCAGTATAAAAGCAGACTACCAATGAAGTTTAAACAACACAGAAATCAACACAAATAAAAATGAAAGAATGTGTACCGTCCATCATCTTTCACAGCTCCTGTTATAAGAGTTAAAGGAAACTGGGGGAAGGGAGATGTTTTCTACAAGTTCCACAGTAGAGTTTAACTACAGTTTAAATAGTGCAGCTTTAAAAGAAATGAACAAAAGCTTGAATATGATATGGAAAATCTGTGAAAGCAATTCATTCTGCCTTCTGTTTTAATGTGTGCCAAACAAGCTCTAATGCACACCTTAAGTCTTTAATCTGTGTGAAACTCTATCCCAAAGCCTAATCCGCAAGATGAGGTATTTACTTATAAATCTCACTAATCCTTGTGCTAAATGTGCCAAATAAAAACACGACACCATTTCTCCTTGAATGTACCATAACAATGAATTTGTACCCAAAACTCCCAACATGATTTATGTATTTAAACATCACACATTTCTGCTCTAAAGTACTGTTCTAACACTGTTAATCATTATATAATAAAAAGCAAGACTTTAGACTTGTCATAAATGTAATCTTTAAAGTAAACTAAGATTATTGAAATGTCACCTGTTTTATGTAAATCATAGTGAAACTGAAGAGTGAAATCCACAGAGAGGAACCAATACAACCTGCTTATTAAGAAAGAGAACAATGCCTCTGTGCCAATAAACTACATTGAGAAATGCAGTCTCTCAAAGACAGACCGTGATCTCCGAGACCAAGAATCGTGACACACTTACATCAAGATAAGTGTGATTATCTGACCAGAAGTTTAGTTACTACACAACTCCATTTGCGGTAATTGTTGGCTATCCGACAGCACAACACTACACTGAAGTGAACTCCTGGAATTTCACTTACTGCTCTTCCTACATGCTCATCCCAACATAACATTCCAGTAGGACAGACTGTTCTCGCGCTGCTAGTGCATCAGCCACTTTCTTGCAAAATAAGAATGTGACAGCTGTGCTACGGATGCCCTACTTGCCAGACCTGAGCCCCATTGAACAATTGTGGGATGAGCTGGCATCATGTGTGGCAGCTAAGAGGTTCAGAGACCCATGAACAGGCACCTGCTTGTCCGGGCTCTCTGACACGAACAGGACAAAATCCCACAGGACAGCATGTTCAACCTGGTGCAAAGCTTGCATCAAAGAGCTACAGCTTACATTGCTTCCAAAGGCAGCCATGCTTGCTACCAGCTTGTGACGATCCCAGTAACAGCCGTGTTGATCAACCCTGTTTATGACTGCTATTCCACATGCTACAAATGCTAGTCCACATGATAAATTGACCTCTGTAATTCACCTTTGCAAAGTGCCAGTGCATTTGCTAGTAAAAGAGTAATTTTCCTTCAAATTGATCAATAATTAGTAAATCAATAGTAAATCGATTTGTTGAGGTTAAAACTGACATTTTTTCACGCTTAGCATATTAGCTGATGCTGCACAGATATTCAGTTGCAGTTTTCATTAACTGTCTTTTCACTGTCAAAGTATATAAAATATTACAAACAGAAAAGCTCTGATTTTGAAACGGCAATGGCACAAATTAAAATGAATCCTA